CAAAAATTACATTATGCACAGTGGCATGCAATTTGCAAAATATCCTGCTCAGAGTATCAATGAATGACTCTCAGCTATTATCACATCAAGTTTTAGCTCAATCTGTACAAATGAGTAAGTTTGTGGTAACTTATGTTTATTAGCTGTGGTGGCCATCTTGATTTGGATTGACTCCAAATGTTAAAACAGTTGGAGACGTACATCCTTTGAGTCTGCTCTGAAAGTTGCATTGAAATCTGCCAAATCCATCCATTATCTTTGCCCGCTTCTTCGTTTTTGGGTTGCGGGGGTCACTGGTGCCCATGTCCAGCAGTCACTGTGCGAGGGGCGAACAGGTCGCAAGTCCATCAGTGACACATAACGAGACAAACAACCATTCACTCTCACTCACACTTGGGGACAATTTAGAGTTACCAATCCGCCTAACATGCATGTTTTTGGTCTGTGGGAGGAAACTGGAGCACCTGGAGAAAACCCACGCATGCACGGAGAGAACATGCAAACTCCACCCAGAGAGGTCCAGGGGTGGGATTTGAGCTGGCGACCGTCTCGCTAAGAGGCAACAGCTATACCAACTGCACCAGCGTGCCACCCCGAAATCTGTCCAATGATTCACAATTTATTTTCCCTGACAGTACAGACAAACGCATGCACACAGATGTGGACAAAACATTGTTGCTCGCCTTTGAGTTCAGCGTCAGATGATGATAAATAAATTATTTTTATATTTAGCATGTGAAGACATACTTTTTTCCCATTCAACCTTTATTTATACATGTTAGTTCGAGGAATCCTTTACAAGAGAGACCTGTTTCAGGCAGACGAACTATACGTACAATATTGTACTTTGTATGTAATTACATACACTCTGCCGTAAACAGCAAAATCTGTAATGTTGTTTTTTTCAGTGCTAATAATTTTTAGTTGATGAGCGTTTTGATTTGATTTGTGGTGATCAAAAAGCTCTGAGCGGTGTCAGTCAAGCGAGTTGTTAACACCCATGACTGAGTTAGATTCAGTCCAGGTGGAGTTGATAAATGTTTAAGTTGTGACTGATCTTGTGCTAATTCCTATGGTGCTGGGAAGTTGCTTAATTTTTTTATAAAAAATAAAGATTTTTTTTTATTTTTTTTTTTTACTTGCTCACTGTTGCTGGTCAACACATTTGAACTTATGATGTAACGTAGAGTGGTGTGTGTTAACTTAGGCTAGCTAACACAGAATGCACTTTTAATGTTTTGTAAAACAAAGCAATGAATTTTAACGCGGATAGTGAAAGGAAATCACACAATTTTAATGTTAAAAATATGTTTCATAAAATAACAGAATGCATGTTAAAAAATAAACGCATACAAAATGGGGAGTGGTGGCACAGAGGCTAGAGAGGGTGAGCCTGTGATCAGAGCATCTCCAGCCAACCCAGGTTCAACTCTCAGACCAGCAACATCAAAATGTGGGTGGGAAAAGTGCAACACCCACCTTGGGCCCATGAGCAAGGCCCCCAAGGCCCCCCAGATGGCAGCCCAACAAATGCGCACCCACACACGCAATGGGAAAAATGCAGAGCATTAATGTCCCAATTGGGGATTGCCAGAGTACAATAAAAAAATAAAAAAAAACACAATTTTAGTTTTAAAAGCACTTAATTGTGTAAAAAAATAACAATGTAAATTAAAAAATTAACACTTACAGTGAAAGGGAATAACACTATATTGAGTTGAAAGTGCACTTAAGTGGTGTCATAAATCAACACCAAGGGTGTCAGATATTTAACACTATTAGTGTTTAAAATATTAACATTTTTCAGCGCGTACTTTTAACTCGGAATCTGTGAGAATTATTTAAACTTGGAAAGAGTGTCAAATTTAACACTCTGTGAGTTGAATTACCACTCCTGTTTTTGCTCTGTATAAGTCACATCAGTCCAAATATGTCTAAAGTGGAAAAAATCATAAATAAATAGCTTCACTGTATAAGTCTTATTTATTACGCGTCACCGCTGACCACCCGGAAACGTGAGCTGGTGTTGTGCCAAAAATTGTTTAGCTGCCAAATGGAGGCTGCAGGAGCGTGCACGGCAGGACTTTAACAATAATTTAACTTAACGCTTAAAAACAATTGTTTGCTCGACATTATATCAAAGGTGTGTCTAAGTTTAACTTTTCCTTAATAAATGCACTTTAATGGTCAAATCAGCTGCATTTCGCCTTGGCAGCGCGGCAAAATGCAGCTGATTTGACGTTTGCTCCAGGAGTACTGGAGCGAGACGAAATTGGCCTGTATGGCAAGCCAAGTGTCTCATTAATAGCCACTTTTACCTATTGAGACACTTGGCTTGCCATACTAGCCAATGGCCCTCTAATGAAATTGTGAGATCTCAGCCAAAAATTGGGTTATAAATATGGGAAGAAAATGTAAATAAGTCGCAGGGCATGCAAATTTATGGAAAAAGTTGTGACTTAAACAGCAAAAAGTACATTACAATACATGCTGTACTGTAATGTAAATCTGATTATATATGAAGTTGGCAGACGCAAACAAACTTTACCACAGAATGGATGATGATGCGTTGTCAGGCGTTCTGTCCCTTCACTTGGTGTGTGTGTGTGTGTTAGCTATGATCTATGTGCCACAATGTGTATTGTGCCAACTCCTTGGCAGATCATCAGCTAGATGGACAATAAAGACACATCCTACAGGCAAATTGAGCCATGTTTTTGCTGTTGTGGCAGGGGCAGAAGGGCCTCCTTCTCCATGCAGCTCCCCTCGCTCTCCCTCCTCAGCTGACACACAGTATCACCTGTCAAACTACTTAGATAATTGGATATGAGAGGGATCACAGCCTTGCCACTATAACCAACGACACTGTCAGCAGCGTCACTGAGAACCACCATCTTCTTGCATTATGGGTCCAGACTGAGCACGGGGCTGAAATATATAAATGTATTTTCAGCTGGCTGACAAAACAGGGAAGCGGATCACAAATCATCCAGCCCAAAGTTACGTTCACCTAGCCAGCAGGAGCGGGGCAGTAAATGTTTACAGTTGCATGTAAAGATACTAAAAATATCCTGCCCTCCATGGAGAATGACAACGCTCTCTTTCACTGTTGCAACCTAAGGACACAAAACAACTATTACAATCTCAAGGTACATATTTCTTTTGAAAAGCAGATCGTCACCCGTCACAACTTTATCAATAACTCCAATCTTTATTTTTAAGCAATGATGGAAATAACTGGAAGGTGCAATGAACAATTATATTTTAACATATTTCTGCAATAAGAGTCGCTCCACTTTCCATCCAGTCAGCGATTAAAGCTCCAACATAAATTACACTTTAGTGAGTCATTTCAGCCACTATTTTATAATTTTCATCTTATTATGCATTCTTGGACTTTTTAATGTCCCTTTTTTTTGTCCCATATTCTACTCCAAGGAGATTTCTAGAATAAATGTAATATAAATAATTCTGTTCAAATTATTCTGTCTTTCAGATCACCTCACTGCTTCTTGCCCTTATTACTTTGTATATAGGGTAAATGAGACTTGTGTGCTGAGATGAAGGACCCCACCCACCCAGCACACACACTTTTTGCCCCACTCCCCTCAGGAAGGAGGTTAAGGAGCATTAAGTGTAGAACCACTAGACTGAGGAACAGCTTCTACCCTGAGGCTGTTGGACTCATGAATCTCTAACTAGAATAATCACTGTGAAAAACTATCATGTTGCTGCTGATCTGTTTCAATGTTGATGTGTTCATGCGTGCACATCTGCTCACAGACTCATGTTCATGTTTGTGCTGATGTTCAATGTTTTATGTTATGAGTGCTTAGTGTATATTTAGTTGATGTTTTTCTTAGTTCATATCTTAGATGTCATTACTGTTTTTCTTATACATTTTATTGTTGGATGTAACTGGGACCCTGTGTACATAATTTCGCTCCACCACATGTACCACATGAGGTGCGAATGACAATAAAGAAACTCTGACTCAGACTCTGACTCTGAGATGCTTCAGCTCAACCTTCTCATAATTTTCATTTTGAAGCTTTTTTTTTTTTTTTTTTTAATTCAGAAAAACTAGAAATGGATAAGAGTGTAATTAGTCATACTTCAATTCAGTATATTTATATAGAGCTAAGTCACAACTGAAGACATCTCAGGGCAGTGAATGGAAATATTCATGTATAAAAATAATAAGTTAACATTATTTTTCTGAGGAGCAGACTGCTTTGAATTTAACTCCATCACAGACTCTCATCTTGAGCAAGCATGAAGGCAACAGTGGAAAGGAAAAACTCCATGAGGAAGAAACCTTTAGCAGAACCAGGCTCAGGACAAGCGGCCATCTGCTTTGACTGGCTGGGTTTGGTAGGAACAGATACACAATGGCAGGTCAAGAATCACATGTTAAGATTGAAATAATATCACATGAAAACTATTCAATTTTAGCTAATCATTTAAGGAAATGAGATCAATTTGTCCTCCAGTAGTCTAAGCCTATAGCAGCATAACAAGCCAACCCTAACTATAGGATTTATCAAAAAGGAAAGTCTTAAAACTAGACAATGTGTCAGTCTCATGGACAGAAACTGGAAGTTGGTTCCACAAGAGAGGAGCCTGATAACTGAAAGATCTCCCTCCCATTCTGCTTTTGAAATCTCTAGGAACCGCGTGTAAGCCTGCAGTCTGAGAGCAAAGAGCACTGTTATGAAAATATGGAAGAATAAGATCTGTAATATGAGATGGAGCAAGGTTGTTGAGAGATTTGTAGGTTAGAAGTAAGCTCTTAAATTCAATTCTGGACAGGGAGCCAGTGGAGAGAAGCTAAAACCAGAGAGATATGATCTCCCCTACTAACTCCAGTTAAGACTGGCAGCAGCATTTTGGATTAACCGAAGACTTTTTTTTTTTTTTTTAAGTATTTAGACAAAATGTAAATTGTGATGAGACAAACTTTACGGATTTATGTTCAGTTTTCAAGTTTTCTTACTTACTTTGTTGGCTTGATGAGCGGACTGCTCCCTAATCGAAACGATGGCAAGTCTTCTGTGACTGTTCCTTTTCGTAGAAGGAATTTTTCAGTGAGATCAAATCCTGTGAACAAGACCGCAGTATGTCACCATAAAACCTAATATTGACTTTCCCAAAGAACAAATTTAGCACGTACCTGTGATTTCCAGGGGACGATCTAAACTATCAGAAAACCTGTGGTCTTCTACAGTCAGAGGGGGACACGAGCCATCTGAGCAAAAGCCACCAAGAGATTGTTTTGTGGTCGTTTCTGAACAGTGCAAATCCATTCAACGCTTTTTTTTTTTTTTGAGGGGGGGGGGTCTTTTTTTAGTAACTTTGTGCCGAGAAGGAGGGAAAAAAACAGAAGAAACTCAATAATAAACTCACATACCTGTTCGTTCACTCACTGCCATTCCAGCAGTGCGAGGAACTGAGTTCACAATCCAGAAAAAGGCAACCCATCTTAGTAAGTAATAAATCATGGCTCTGATGCTGGAAGGCAGTCCACTTGAAAACCTGAACATAAGTAGACCAGATATGTTATTATATATATTCCAAAATAGTTTTTTTTTTATTTAGAATAATAAGCCAAGCAGGGATAATTCGGAAAAAGCATCAGTCAACAAATGTGTAACTCGGAGAATTTAGAAGGCGTAATGATTGAGTTTAGCGTCGCTGCTGAAAGCTGTGGAAACAGCTGGTAGAGCTGACAGCTTCTGCAATCAAGTGCTGGAGGGGAATACGGGCCAAACGGATTTAACCATGTCCAGAAACTGTGCAGCCGAAGTTCGGGGCTTTCCAAGCATGTTGCATAGCTTGTTTGGAGGAAGAATAAAGCCACATAGAATGTCTAATTTATCAGATTAACTTCATATAAAAAGTTTCTTTAAGCCTATTTGATACTGGGAACCACGTTATAATAAAACTATATAGTGTACATTATTTTAAGATAGAGAAATAGAGAGATAGATAGATCTAAGTGGTATGTGTTGACATTGTATGTTCCCATACAAAGACAAAATTGTCTCTCTGCATTTAACCCATCGCGCCTGGGATACACCCACGTGGAGCAATAGGCAGCTATATAAATGCCCGGGGAGCAATTGGGGATTGGGTGTCCTGCTCAGAGACACCACGAGATGTGCAATGACTGGGGATTGAACCCAGGACCTATGAGTCATCCTTGCAACCCATAAAGGAAGAAGCGGGTAAAGATGATGATTGATTCACAGCTCTGTATAATAAACGGCAAACCAAACACGGATGGAAGAAAATACAACAATTACAGTAATGTTTACTTTAATTTCCTAATCGAAGATATGAGCAAATAATGGGTTTAAATGACTTCATCAGCAATTGATTATTCTAGACGCAGTAACAAGAATCTTTGAATAGTTTCACAGCCATGAACTACAACTGGATGTCATTGTGATTACCTAAAAATTTTAGGACGGCAACATTTGAGTATTGTTTAATAATGGTAGATATACAGTAACTGTACTCTATTGTAAACTTAACTTTGCTTAACACAATTATTTTACACACAGCTCACATGTGTGGTAACTGCCTCTCTCTCAGTAAGGAGAATCCACCGGTGAGTCCTTCATTCTTGTGATCTCATTAGCGTCTCCCACGCTGTGATGAATGCAGATGTCAACAATGTGCTGCTGCAAAATCATTAGCCCCTAGCTATGTTTTGTTAAAGGTTTGGTTGTTAAATAGTTAGCCAAGGTGACCTTGTAAAGCCTTTTTAATTTGTGTTGTGAATGAATTAACCTGTACAGTTTGCATGTCAGGGTAATTACATCAGCGGTTCAACACAATCGTTGACTCCTTGTCTGCCACTTTAGTCGTGGTGTCAAAGCCTTGATCTTTCTCTATTAACACTCCATTGTGTTTGGATCTGGGAAATACCTGCAGAGTCCCGGTCAAGAACGCTATTTGCAAGGATCAAACCTGGGAACCTCCAGTTGGACGGCAGTCTCTTGAACCATTTGTCCACGCTGCCAAACCAAATCCTTAGCATTGCACTCATGCCCGTGCAGAGACAGCACAGTGGAGGATGGAGTGTGTGCTTGAATTTGGTTAAAGAAAACACTTGGAGTAACTTTAAAAGTGCTGAAAAAACTGCACACTGCTATTCTTGACAGAAAATGGCTATAAATGAACTTCAAGGATTTTCTAACAATGAAAATGTTTAACGGAGCACAGCAAAGCTATATAATCAAACGCGCACACACAGGTACACCTACAGTTAATACTCAAATATTAAAATCTATATTAGTCACGTTTGGTCTGTTTCATCTCCAAACGTGCTGCATTAGCATTATTTTGAGTGGATAAGCTGTTTGAACACCTGTTATTGTTTGACAGTGCAGCTTTAACCCCAATGCAAAGAAGATACTTATACCATGATGATCTTGTCTATTTCCACTGGGAACAAATCAACTGCAGACATCTTTTTGAACAGCTCACACGACCTCCACAGAACAAAACGACATTTAGCTGCATCTTTATGTGCAGACTCTCAAAGTGTGACCAGTGCTCTTTATCTTAAAAGTGCTCAGAGAAAAGTCATGAAGTTCAGATCCACCAAAACGATCATAAAGTAGGAAAATCCCCACAGTTTGTTTTTTTGTGACCTTAACAAAACATAATAATTTGAGTGGGTATAAGAACAGCCAGTGACTGAACATATGACAACAATGGAAATGGAAGAGCCATTAAAGAAGGAGATGAAAGCCAATTTTGATATATTGGAACATACCGTATTTGTTGCCCTCAAAGTCAGTTTTTTTGCATGCCTTGTAATTTTTTATATGCCAAAGCAACATATAGTTATGGATTTTCTCATATTTATAAACAAATTTTTGGCTGAGAAATGACTGTTTTCATTCATTCTGACTAAAAATATTGAGCACTACCATTTTCAGCCGCTCGATGGCAGTCGAGTAGTATGGCATTCCGTTTTATCATGAAATAGGTAAAAGTGGCTGTTAATGAGACAATCGGCTTGCCAAAGACTGACAACATCATCTGCCTGGAGCAACCGTCAAATCTGCTTCATTTCGCTGTGCCGCCCCGGCGAAATGCAGCTGATTTGACCCACTGGAGTGCATTTATTAAATTCAATTAATTCCAGTTTATTTATATATACCTTACCAAGTATGCAAATATAAATGTTTGTTTCGATTAGAATGGTTTTGCAAAAGCTGTACAAGTGAGTGAATGTCATGCCCTGTCTTTATGGTGCTCCACCACCCTGCTTGATCCTTGCTATTTATTCTTGACAGTTCAGTCTCTTTTCTTTTCAGTTTCTTTCCACCTAAATGTCTTTTCTCCAAAATTATATGGATGATTCTGCCATACTTTTCACCCCCACAGACTACAACCAAACTATTGCAGGTCAATCACACGACTCAAGTTTCATGGTTTTCAGCATATTTGGCCAAGCGCTTTGTTTACAGTGAATGCGTACCTGCATTTCAGAACTGCATATAAAACCAAACGACTGGGATAAACTTGTTTTACCTTATCTATGTTCACAACCTCATTAAATGTCCTTACAGATGACCAGCTCTCAGTACAGCTAAAAGTTCTGCACGCAGGCCTGCAGCAAGCTGTCATGGCGGTTGCAGATGAGGTGACCATGCCACCTAAAACTTCAAGCATGCTTGGGTTGTAGACAAGCAGGACTACACAGGTATCACATGGCTGACAGGAGGTGACATGTTATTCCTGATATTTTTGCTCTCTGCAGCATATATTACAAAAACTCCAAACCCTACAAGAAGAATACACATCTAGAGGGTTAAAAAATGTTTTAAGGCAGTCAATAACACTGATGGACCATCTGCTGTCAGCCTGCATCGATCTGGGCTCTAAACTGACACAGTGGCTGTGTAGGCATTGCGTCACCGCCTCAGATAAGACACAGAACAAGGCTTGGACACTTAAGTTTCGCTCCATCATCCGCCCCAGCCGCTTTGCAAAGGCAATAACTCTTTTTTTTTTTTTTTTTTTTTTTTTTTTTTTTAACACCACGGTGCCCCATGTTCACACAAAAGCGCGTTTCTCTGCGCGCGCGCTGAAAGGCTTATTTATCCTAAATACTTACAGGCTGAAGAAGAGAACCTTAAAAGTCATGCATTATATAGAATACATGTTTACCGCAACAGTCCCATTATTAATGGGGGTAGTTTAGAAGTGTCCCGGGGCGGATATAATAATAAAAAATAAAAAAAAAGAACAGCAAACTTTAACATGAAGCAGGAAAAATCCACTTATTATAAGCGTGTCGACACGTTTATTAAAACCTTATTAGGATGCATTTGAGGTGGGAGTACTTACAAATGCTGATAAAGTTTCCTTTAAGGCAGAGAGAAATGATAATAATAGTAAAAAAAAAAAGCTGCGACAAAAGCATAATCCGTGCGTGATAACGGTATCAGTCCGGCTCCGGGACTTGGAAATAAAAGTCTCAGTGGGATCTCCTGCTCGATCGCGGTCCTTTAGAGTTTCTCGGAGTGGCCCTCCCACCCTGTCATCATTCCTCCTGAACTGCGCTTCTGCAAACAGCGCGCGCACTCTGAAAGCTTTCTTATTAGAGGGAAATTAGGCCCCGGAGGCAGCACAAACAAACTGCTATTAACAGAGCAGGTGCAGGAATTAAACACTGTTTGATGTATTGTGATTTAATCAAAAATCTCCCAAGAAAGGCGTGAATTAAATGGATTTGTTCGTCCTCAAAGTGGCTCTTTTTTGTAAGCTGCAATAATAAAAAGAGGGGGAAAGTGTTCAAGTTTTGCTTCAAAGTGCATGTCTGAGGAAGACAAAAGGTGTGAACAGTCGCTTTTCATCCTCCTCAGTCTTATACCTGCCTGTTCTTGTCAAGCAGCGATGAACTTGAGCTTAATTATGAGGCCAAAGCAGCAGACTGTGATCTGACATAATCATGTGGAAGCATTTCGTTTTACTGGCAGCCCTGGTCTATACTACACTGGGTCACTCAATCCACATAGCCTACTATTTTAGTCAAAGAGGCAAATACCATGGTGCAATACTACACTTCATTAGGAAGCCAGCAACTTCACCGTCCAGTCTGAAACGTTCAAGTTGTTTTCAACTGCAGTTAATGCAGGTTGAAATGTGTAATCAGGCCTTTCCTTCTGGTCCGTTACAGTTCAACTAGTTTTGCACGTGCGCGGTTTTTGAAAGGTACTAAAATAGGAAAAAGTTTATCCCGAACTATATTGAATGGTGCAGGCCAGTGGTGATTTTAGCCTCTTTTGGGGGGTGCTCAAGCACCCCTAAAATTTTAACTCGGCACCCCTGAAAAATAAAGTGGGGAAAAAAAAAAGTCTGTCTGTCCATCTATTTTGTCAGTTCTGGGTTTGGGTTCTGTTTATTGCATTTATGATTTCAATGCAACAAAATAAACGTAGTTAAAAGCTAAATGATCATTGTAATACTTGGTTTATTTACAAAATGATTTTAATTGATGGATGTCTGGCCCCTGAGCTGCTGCCTTTCAGAAACTGTGGCCTCTGA